CTCCATTCAGGAACGTGGTTTTGACATCCATTTGTTGAATCTCATAGTCATGGTATGTTGCTATAGCTAGCAGGATCCTAATGGATTTAAGCATGGCCATGGGCGAAAAGGTTTCCTCATAGTCGATTCCCTTTTTCTGAGTGTACTCTTTTGCCACAAGACGAGCTTTGTAGGTCTGAACCTTACCATCGGGGCCCTTTTTCCTCTTGTAGATCCATTTGCAACCAATTACTTTTACCTCAGGAGGTGGATCTACTAGAGTCCAGACTCCATTGGCCTCCATTGAGTTCATCTCATCTCTTATAGCATCTACCCACTTCAAGGAATCTATGTCCAACATAGCTTCCGTATAAGTCACGGGATCCTCCTCACTTGTCGTGGCTTGCACCAATTAACTTTTTCAGTCATAGCCATAATGAATTGGAGGCCTGGATGCCCGGGTAAATCTTGTAGGTTGGTTATTAACTAGAGCTTGTGGGACATCTTTCACTACCCCTAAGCTCTCCTCATCAAGAACAACTTCTTGATGGTGATTGTTCAAGATGTAATCTTCCTCCAAGAAATGGGCATTTTGATTACAAAACACCTTTTGCTCTCCTGAGTCATAGAATAAATACCCTACAGAGTCTTTGGGGTAACCTAAAAATAGGCAACGGCTGGTCATGGATTCCAATTTGTCAGCACTTGTTCTTTTAAAATGTGTCAGACAACCCCAAATCTTCAAGTGTCTTACACTTGGTTTCTTACCAGTCCAAAGCTCATAGGGAGTCTTCGGAACGGATTTGGTTGAAACTCAGTTCAACATGTATATCGCAGTCTCTAATGCATAACCCCAAAAGGATGTAGGTAATTTCGAGTGTACAAGAAGTGATCGGACCATATCCAATAAAGCCCGGTTCCTCCTCTCTGACACACCCTTTAACTGTGGTGTAGCAGGAGGAGCTAGTTGTGATACTATCACACTTTCCTTTATGTAGTCTCTGAATTCGCCAAAGAGATATTCACCTCCTCGATTTGATCGAAGAGCCTTAATGTGTCTCCCCAACTATTTCTTGACCCCTTGCCTTAACTCTTTGAACTTTTCAAAGGATTCAGACTTGTGTCTCATTAGGTACATGTAACCATACCAAGAATGATCATCGGTAAATGTAAGGAGGCAAAGAGTTCAGGATGGCATCAACTTTGGTGACATGATCTAGCCCCGATCCAAGAGCCTCCAGTTCATTGATGTATCCCATCATCTTAAGACAATGGTCATGAACTAGCAGGTTCTTGGACATTTATGCGGTAAAAAACTACTTCAGGACCTTCTGATGAGTAAAACGATTATGCTCTTCATACATGGTCCTTAGACTACCCAAGATATCCTTGGACACTTTTGACCTGATCGAACTATCGATGTATTTGATTGTCTGAGGAGGCTATGATGTAGCACCGGGCAAGAGAGTTTTTCTCTGCCCATTCTTGATATTCCCTCCTGTGGGCCTTAGAAGCCCTATCACCCGGACGATTTGGAGTAGGGTTCTTAGCAACTTTGTCCAATTTCTCGGACGTCAGAAATAGCATAAGGTTACGAAACCAGTCAGCGTAATTTGGGCCTTTAAGCTTATTATCGTCCAACAGTTTGGCGAATTGTTCGTTTGGCATTTCTGATAAAAGGCAAAGCAAATATTAGTCCACAACATGATTTGATTCATGTTATCTACATAGATATGGCTTTTAATCTATGTTCCATTTTCATTTATTCATCTCTGAGATTTCCCACCTATCTCAATGACGGAGACAACGAACTATGTCTCAAGAAATGTGGGAAACCACATATAGTACATGGAGCCAACTATTTCAGCTGCATAACCCCACCACCTTCTGTGAAGGATCACATCCATTCATCTCATGAGATTTTCCTTTTGGCCTCTGTTAGACAAGGTTCATTGCCATTTTAGGTTAAACCTTTCTGTCTAGTAAGTGCTTACCCATCATATTCGTGAATGCCAAGGTACCATGAGAAAGTCTTCCATTTTAGTATAGGCCCCTCCCACATCGGTCTATGATGCCCCTATCATCTTATCAAACAATTCAACAGATCCAGCAGCAAATGGATAGCCCAATTTTATGGTACATCTCCTCTTTACTAAAAGACCCATCTTCATGCTAATGATGGAAGGCCTTTAAAGAGTTCATCATATGAATCTCTCTATCACATGCACTTATATTTCAATGGAGGGAATGAAATATTATGCCCTAATTTTATTTAGGTCAAACCAAAGTGGCTCCCACGGGCTTTCTCAAAGCCAGATTCAAATGGGCCCTAAACGGCTAGGGTTCCGCACGGTTCCTCTCGAGGAGGAAGTTGATGTGAGGCCCATCAAATGGTGAGATCATCCAATGATTTTATGGACACCATGGAAATGATGTGCATTCAGCCATAGTGTGCGAAAGAGCCACTATCGAATTAACATGGGCCAAGTACTTATGGCCCATAAACGTAGCACATCACACATCCATACATTAAATGCATGAAACAAGTTCATCCAATCAATCAAAATATTTGTAAAACCCTTAATTAATTAGATTAAATCACTATCAGCCCAACATAGCCCATAATATTATCATATAACTTTATCTAGGTACATGGGCTATATTGCAAAAAGCAGTTCGGCCCGTATAACTTTATCTAGGTACGTGAGCTGTATTGCAAAAAGCAGTTCGGCCCGTGTAGCTAAATCAGGGCTGGTTCAGTTTTATCATATTAAAATTGGGTTTTTACAGAGGTAGGCTGAATTAAAACTTGAAGTGGGCCATCCACTCTCTAGCCTAAATCGAATTTGGGTTAGAAAAACCAATAATTCGGTCCATCTAGTTTGAACCAAATCTGGCACAAATCGGCCCAAGTTTTGGTGTCCAGTTCAAGATTTAATTCAAGAATAATGATCTAAAAAATAAATTAATTCAAGATAACCAAATTATCAAGAAAATGAAATCAGAGGGCTGCACTGTGATTTTCGTAGGCATCCTGCAAACCTACAAAGAACAATTAATCGCATATTGTAGAATCGATATCTGTGAAATCGCAGATCACAAAACTTCTTTCTGCGAAATCTTCTTCTCCTCTGTTGCGCACTCCAGCAATCTCTAGATGGAAATAAAATAGGAAAACCTAATTTTTCTATTATTACATCACATCGAATTCCTATATAATTTGTCAAAAAAAATTATTTACAAACCAAATTGAATAGAAAAGAAATAGCAGGGTACGCCAATCTCGGCACCAAAAAGATTCAATCTCCATCACATGTGCAGCCCAAATATTCAAGAAACATTTACAGAACAATTCTATAAATATAACAGAATAATAAAGATTTATTTTCCAAATCATCCGCCCATAATCTGGGAGCCAATTCCCAAAAAAAATGCTAATTGCGCAAATCGGGTAGAACGCCTTCTGCCCATTTACGCAGATCCAGATCTGATCTAATTTTGGTTCAAGACTTGAACCTGGCTCTGATACCAATAAAGGGATAGGCGAGTGGGTTCTAACCTTCGATCGGAGTAGCACGAGCACCTCGGCTGGCACTGGAGTGACCTTAACCTCACTCGATGGATAAACCTCTGTCTACTCCTTCAAACTTCAGTTCCCCTATTCTCACAACATAGTAGAGTATGAAGTATTGGTCCTTGGTCTGATCAAAGCAATAGAAGTTGGTGCAAAGAAGATAAAGATAATTGGTAATGCTAAACCGGTGATCGGGCAGCTTTACGGAAGCACAATAGTGAAGGAACTAACCATCCTACCGTATAGGACCCTGATCTAGAAGCTAATCCGCGACCTAGACATAGACTTCAAGCATCAAAATAGAGCTAAAAACCAATTCGCTAACGCACTAGCTACCTTAGGGTCCAAGATGCAAGCTAGCACAATGCAAATAGAGATCACCATCCAGTCAATCGATAAACAATCCATCTTCACCTTGAAGGATCGGGTAGAAGAAGAGCACGAGATAACAACGAATGATTGGAGATACGAAATAATCCAGAAGTTGAGATGTCAAACTATAGGAATACAAGACATCAAGTTGATCGCAAAGTTCCAGCTTGTGAATGGGATACTATATCGTAGAGAGTCAGATGAGGTGAGGACAAGATGCTTAGGGAAATCAGAGGCGGATGCGGTGCTGAATGAGGTACACAAGACAAATTGTGGAGATGTAACATGCACCCTATTCTGAAGATTGTAGAGGTTGAGGTATTTCTGGCCTACGATGAAGTGAGACTCCACCAAGGTGCAAAGAGAATGCAATAAGTGCATCACACTAGCAGACGGCAAGGAATGTCTCACAGTCTGTGAAGAGGACTGAAGAAAGATATATATAGAATATCTAAAAGATCACACATTTCCCATCGATATTACACTGAGGAGGAAGCTGCTATCTAAAGTCAAACGATTCTACCTCCAAGACGGAATGTTGTACAGGAAATCGCATACAGGAAAACCTCTGCGATCCTTGGCCAGTGACGAGATTGACGATGTACTAGAGTTAGCCCATAGTTCTGAACCCGCACCCCATCAAGGTCAGCTTGCCTTACACAATCACATCCTACACTTAGGGTTTTATTGGCCAACCATGATGGAAGATACCCAACAACACGTATGCAGATGTCACAAATGCCAGATCCATGGTTAGAGGATCCACAAACCTGCCAATAGCCTCCACCTAGTCATCACACCCAGGCCATTCCATACTTGGGGGGTAGACCTAATAGGCAAGATACACCCACCTTCTAAAGGGTACTACTTCATCATAGTAGCCATAGACTATTTCGCTAAATGGTCGGAAGCTATTCCCCTGTGACGAATCTGTATGGAAAACATAGCAAATTTTCTAAGACAAAACATAGTCCACAGATTCGGAGCACCAATGTAGATACTGATAGACAATGGCCTATCCATTAAAAATCAAGAAGTCCATGATCTCCTAGGGCAATACAGCACAGAAATAGGAATGTCCACAACATACTACCCACAGGGAAATGGGCAGGTAGAGGCCACAAACAAAACTCTCCTCAGGATGTTGAGCAAAACAATGGCTGATAATCAAAAGGATTGGGCAAACAAGCTGTTAGAAACTCTTTGGGCTTATCACACATCTATCAGAAAGAGTACACAAGCAACACCCTACTCCTTGGTGTATGGTCAAGAAGCAGTGCTCCCAGTAGAGATAAGAGTCGTATCTGCCAGGATAGCCTTCGCGATGGGCAAGAAGATCATGCCAGAGGACATGGACCTATTCCTTGCATTCAAACTCGAGGTAATTGATGAGGTCAAGGACATAGCCTCACAGAAGTAGAGCAAGTACAAACAAGCCTTAGCCACAAACTTCAACAGACACCTAAAACCCAGGAACTTCAAAGAAGAGGATAAAGTCCAAAAGACAGCTCTCAACGTTAGGCAAGGCAAGTCTATAGGAAAGTTTGCCCCAACATGGGAGGGGTCATACTTAATAAAGGAGACCCATACTTTGGGCTACTATGTACTAAAAACTATAGATACAGAAGAAGATGATGAGACCATCAATGGTTACTGGTTGAAACCTTACTTTGAATAATTTTGTATTTCTGTAATTTCACAAATACATGTATATCTTCTATATATAAATATTGCAATGTTTTATTATCCAGGACTCTCTATTAATTACCCACATGCTCTATGATAAAGTCTATTTACTTCCATAAAGAATTCCAATTGTGATAAAGTTGCTTTCTTTTAACCCTTCAATTAAGACTACATGTATCTACCCACTGTGATAGTAGTTAAATGAATGATACACTACTAATTGTTACAATATGTTCCACATACTTGTTTACATACATGTCTTGTTTATACTCTACAACCTATTTAACTATGCTTTCTAAGCCCTGGCAACCCTAGGCATTCTCATTCCATGGTCGGTTTCACGATGCCATATGCTCCATGCGGAGGCCCCGGTAACCCCAGACGTGATTCAAAGCCCCAGCAACTCGAGCACCCTATTAAGCCCTAGAAACCCCAGGCACTCTCATTCCATGGTTAGTTCCATGATGCCGCATGCTCCATGGGAAGGTCTTGACAACCCCAAGTGCAATTCAAAGTCCCAACATCCCCGAGCACCCTACCAAGCCCTAGCAACCCTAGACACTCTCATTTTGTGGCCGGTTCCATGATGTCGCATGCTCCATGCAAAGGCCTTGGCAACCCAAGCGCGACTCAAAGCCCTAGAAACCTCGAGCAATCTAACAAGCCCTAGCAACCCCAGACACAGACAAGCCCTGGTAACCCCAAGCACAGACAAGCCTTGGCAACCCCAAGCACAAACAAAGCCCTAAAAACCGCAGGCACATACAAAGCCCTAGTAACCCTAGGCACAGACAAGCCCTGAAAACCCCAGGCACCAACAAAGCCCTGGTAACCCCAAGCACAGACAAGCCCTGGCAACCCCTGGCATAGACAAAGCCCTGGGAACCCCAAGCACAGACAAAGCCCTGGTAACCCCAGGCACAGGCAAGCCCTAGTAACCCCAGGCACAGACGAAGCCCTGGTAACCTCAAGCATAGACACACGTCTGTGAAACTATTGAGGGGCTCCGTTGATAGGAAGTATGACCCCTACCAAATCCACAAACAGAGATACTCTTATTTAGTAGTAACAAAATCCAGGAGGACACCCTTCACCCACCCCAGCATCAACAATGACACTCCACTCGCAAACAACACCCTATGTTCCCAAAGTATGGTTGTGATAAACCGAGTACCCATGGCACAACTCATGAAGGACCTCACCCTTTTAAGGTACAAACAACACATAGCCCTAGAAAGGAAAACAAAACTACATTTCCCCACAAAAGCCACAAGTTCATTTCTAGACATGGGCAAGTCTCACACTTCGACTCTTCTGCTTAGTGTTCTTTTGCGCCTAATAATGTTCTGATACAGGCATAATCCCTTGATTAACTACTTATTCATATAAGATTATTGGGGTCAACCCCTCCTGATCGGGCCATAGGGGACAAATTCACACTGTTCGTACCCCTGATGATTTGCGACAAATTGATGATATGCCTGCACCCAATCACGGGAAAACTAAATAGAGGGCTCATCAACCAACACCTCTTGATCGCGCTATTCCGCGTAGGGATCACATGCACCAAAAGCAACATGTTGCAGATAAGTTTTCATTATATCACTATTTGGGGACACACAGTCTACGCCAACTTACTTGACATAATCTCATAATAGCATCACTCAACTACCTTAACGCATTGTGATAAAGCATACTACACCCACGCTGCAATGTGGACAAATGTGCATTGTGATTAATCTGAAATTTTTTTTCACACAATTATAAAATTACAAAGTTGCTTTACATTACATCAATATTAAGATTAAAAAATCGCCAAAATTAAAATCAAAATTGTCACATATGCACATTATATTGTAGCAGACCCCGGAATAGCCCATTACAGTTCAGCACAATCCATGGTCACTTGGCCCACTTTTCTCGTATCACAGATATGGTGTCTAACACCTGGCTAGTTTCTTCAAATTTCTTTAAACTTTCCAACTCTACCTCATAATTCTCAAGGATCTGCATCTATCATGCACATTCCTTCCCTTGAGCTTATTTGCAACTCTGGTGACGCTTGCCTCAATTACTTTCCGATGCAAACGGACATCCTTCATAGAACGGAAAAAATCAGTTTGATGTACGTCCCAACCAGCTTTCTAGAAGGCAAGTGTTAACACCACGATGTGCTCCTCAATCTGCTTCATGAAGAAACCCATCAATGAAAAAAGCCGACAAGCCTCTAGCCAACAAGCGAAGTCAGTCCAAGATAAATCCTCTACTGGGTGGGCCACCACACGACTCATTAGTGTGGCAATGGTGTTCAATGCAGGACCCACAACTTTTGGATGCAGCCTTCCTTCCGGCAACCACTCATCATGAATAGCGGTTGACGCGAACTGGGCAACCGTGCTGGAAATGCTGTACTGCATGCCTTTGCCCTGAACAAATATCGGATCTACTACTAGGAAGTGCAATAGTGGGATGTTGTGATTATCGCAGTACTCTAACAGCTCCCGTCATATCTAGACCAGCTCCTCCTTGCATGTCAACTCCTTAGGAGGAAAAATAATACCGGGTTCCGCATCTCCATCCTCCGAGTGGCATTCCAAGTCAATCGAAACCTCAGGCGCCACAGAGTTGTTGACCTCAGGCCGTGACTAGGGCTCAACAAAGTCCCACCCCCTACAACAAGGGACTAGGGCTCAACAAAGTCCCACCCCCTACACCCTTAGAGGCCTCAGCGTCGTCAATAGCAATAGTGGACTCCGCACGATATATTGCCGCCTCCGATTGAACAATCGGCCGACCTAGTGCACCCCTGGACAATAGTGAAATCAGCACTAGGGGGCTGCATTGCCCCCAACTCCTCGGCCAGATGCCTGAAGAAAGACGTGTCTGGCACCCTGGGAGGATACTCAGAGAAGGGCACTTGCGATACAGTCACATAACCAACAATCAGTCATAATGGATCTGGCCATACGTTAAATAGTAAACAAACAACAAAGAATAAAGAACGCAAATAACCCACCTCTTCACTCGGTTCGGTGATCCCCGCAACATCCCTTCTAGTCTGCGCCTCATCGCAATACACCTGCTTCAAAAAAAAAGGATTGTCCAAACATCAGTCACAACAGTAAGCAGTGTACATAACAATCCAAACTAAACACACACTAACCTACTCACCAAATTTACCTCATTCGGGGAGTTACTCGAAACCCCTGTTGTTTGCCTAGGAGGAACAATGGGAACTTCCTTGTCCAACTGAGCGCCATCACTTTCCACAGACTGTAAGTAAGACAACCAACATTAGTCAAATCACATTATGATAACACATAAATACGATACACTATTTGTGGAACCCCGCTTGGGGCGAAGGGGAGCCTTCCTCTTCATTCACCCGCTGGAGAAATGGACGATGGCACCGTTAGGAGGACACTATAGCTAGAAACTCCACCAACTCCACAACCGGTGCAGTCCTACCCACAACAGCCGAGGCCAGGGACCCTTGACCACTCTCACGAGCTTGCATTGAGATCACAACCAAAGGCTTTGGTGCCCTATCGAACTGAAAAGAGCGGGGCACCCATGCAGACCTAGCCCTCTTCACTGAAAGGGGATGACTACACTCCCCCTCTTCGGTGAACTGGGGCGAACAACAACTCCACTTCCCCTCTAGATAGTTGTGTGACCTTCAAGTGGAGCTCATGCATGACGAAGATGGGGGCTTACACCCTTCCATATCCAGCCACTAGGAGTTGGGCGCATCCAGGGAAAGCACGGTTCTGACACCGAACCCAAAAAACATCCTCGCCGCCAGACCTCAAAAATTGGGCGCCCATGTTATCATACCTGAACTGCCAGAGCACACGATCCGAATGGTACACAGAGAGTTGTGCATCACCCGAGCGATCAATATAGCTAATAACACCAGACCACAAGACTAATCGTGTCATACCCGCAACAACGCTCTCCATATCAAGAGTGCACTTGTTATCCCCACCCTCCTGAACAGGCACACCAAAACAGAATGGCATAGAGTGGCACACCACTTGGGCATACGGCCTCCACACGAGGCCGTCCAAAGGGGTGAGCTTCACGCTAATCTCACTCATTTTGAAACTTCTGTGCCTCTTAGCCTGAAGCTAGCGCTTTCCACTACAGACCTCAAACACCTTCTCTTTTGCATCGTCACTGTTAAGAGTAGCAACGTGCATGCGAAGAGGGCACTGACTCTGTGGCGTTACATTGAGCTCGAACCAATCACAAATGAACATCCAAAGGAAGGGGGCGAAAATATAGCTTGCACGGCTCTTGCAGTTAGGGTCATTAAGTTGTTGCATAGTGTCATCCAGCTACTTATACAAATACCCCAAAAACATTGATGCCAATGGAAGCTAATGTCCACTGGCAGCAAGGACAGCTAGAGGAATCAGAGTGGTGCAGAGACCATAGTCCAGTATCCCCGGGAACCAAAAACAAGAGGCCACATAGAAAATATAGGCAACAAGGTGGCATTGAGAGCCAGCACCTCACACCATGACATCCCTCGCCACGACACTTGAACCAATATGCCATCCATTGATCCAATGGCATTTTACCCTGGGAAGTGGATTGGTCCACCAACGCTTTGTAAGGAGAAACTTCTCCAAGAACCTCCTCGCACAACTCCCTCAATTTTGCGGGGACAGACTCAACATGTTGCAAATACTGCATGGACACAGCACCCCCAACTGGCAGCACTAACAA